TTTTCTGCTTTCAAGGACATTTATTACATTAGTAGTCAAACAGCCTGTTGAGACCCAAAACATTGAGATTTCAGTCAACACAATGTTCTCAAATTATTATGAAAATGATAGGTCATGTTAGAAGGTCTTCACATGAAGTGACCACAAAATGTCTCATTATATATCAATAGTTCTGATTTGATGAGAAGAATATGAATCAAAAGAAATAATTTAATTGGAAAAGTAATCCACATCGGGAAATTTTTTAACATAAAAAATTTTATGATCACGTGACTATTTATTGAGAAAATGGATGCTTTGCGAGACCCATATTCACAGCCTACTGTGTTTGTTATAGGGAGGGGTAGGGGTTAGGGGTGGATAGAGCTAATGTCAAAGTGTTATAATAACCAAAAACTACCATTATTAGATTGCACGTTTTTACATGGCAAGTAAACAAAGTAAGCCAATTTTCCCATGTTAACCTATGGTGGTGAAAAATAATTTTATATTTTAATATAATTAATTGTATTTTTAAAAACTACATCAAAAGCTGATAATGTGAATAAAAAAAATTTGAAAAATTTAATTCCAAAGACAAAATATCTTAAATTGAAATATTGAAAATATCGAGATTTTTTGGGTTTTTATGTGTTGACTGAAATCGCAATGTTTTGGGTCTCAACAGGCTGTTTGACTACTAATGTTATAAATGTCCTTGAAAGCAGAAAAAGTCTTCTCTACTAATTAATGAGATAATTGAAATCAAATTATAAACAATAACTTAAAGCTATTTTTAAAAAGTTTCTAAATCAGCAAAGAGTGATACATCTAATACTCATTAAATAATAACTATAATTAAGTAATTTATTTTCCTATTGAAATATTCAATAAAAATAAAATTCAATAAAATACTTGTTATAAACTACCGCATAAAATGCTATCAACTCGTTCAAAACCCGATAAACATGGTATTAATCATACCACAAAATTACAGGCAATTTTCCATTAAATTTCAATGAAATGAAATTTTATTATATTTGTCACAATTTTCCCCTTATTTTATTATTAAATATTACTAATAGTTTTTTCATTGAAAAACTTATAAAATACTTTTAAATAAATCTCAAAATATTTTGTTGTCATAAAACACATAGAATTTTATATATTTTATTGCATTAATTATGCATAATAACCAGTTTTACTTATTAAAATTATTAATTAATCATTATTAAATAGTGTGCTAAACAATTATTTGTAAACTCTACAATGAGATATTGATGAATATTTGTTAAAATAACTGTGAAAATAACAAGATAAAAATGTTTACCTACATAAAAATACTATTGTTAATCACATTAATCACATATATTAAGGCCGCGGATTATGAGGGCAGCGGCGATACAACAATTGTCGGGCCCATTGACTCTACAACCGCTGTACCGGACATCGGGGTCGGCGCTGAAGAGGGCGGGGATGGGAGCGGAGATGGCGGCGAAGGGGACCACGACTACGAGGACAACACCCGGTGCTCAGTAGACGAGTTTATGCAGACCCTGACGCCCGCCGACTACGACCAGTCCTACAACATTAGCCGCGCGCGTACTGTCCACACATTTAACGAGACTATAGCCCGTATCGTACGTCTGGATGAGTTGGCGGCCAAGTTTGGCAAAGATATGCAGTACGCCATTAATGTACGCTTCATGGAGATAATGTACCGGGTTAAAATATCGCCCCAGTGCGTTTCAGCGTTGTACGGCGTGGTTAATGGACTTAGCAACGGCGAATGGTGGGCGTTTGATTGTACGTGGTTAAGTATATTTTTTATTGTGTGCAAGCTTTTAAATAATAATTGACGTAGTTTAATTATGTTGTGATATTTTTAAAAATAGATATAGACTCATTTGACACCTCGCTTCTACCAATAGGACTGACCCAAGGCAGTTTAAACACATATGGTAATTATGAGCAGTGTCTGGACGTCAAAAGTCCCGCAACAACTGGGATACCGTTTACGGGAAAGTATTGTTTCGTGAAAGTGATTACACCGTATGATCGGGAAAATCGTAAAATCAAGCCTTTTATTACAAACTCTACACATGAGTTTAAACACTATTTATACGGTATGTCCGATATTATCAACGATTACATCAGGGTATTTAATGGGGAGACCAATCGCATGGGAGTTTGTGTGCCTTCCACTTGTCAACCATCGGAATTACAAGAGGCCATTAATGAAGGTTAATTATAATTAAATTAATTAACTTTTAAATGTTATTTAACTAGTTATTTAAAAATTGCAGTCCAGTTCCCTTTAACCAGATTTCCCATTGAAATGAATGATATCGAGTGCACCACAAGAGATGAGCCTAAGGCCTACCTCACGAGTCAATTGGTTTCCATGTATGACATTTAGTGCTTAATTAAATACAATAATAATAATAATTTTAATTTTCTATTTTAGCATAATTTTTGCCATATTGTTATTTATTGTATTAATAGCCAGTGTTATTGAGTTGTATTACATCGTGATAAAGAACCCAATTAAATCTGGTGCTGTACTGCAACTATCAATTATCTCAAATACACATACGTTAGTCAACGGCGCACCAAAACAATTTACCTCAGTGGAAATGATCAGGGTACTTGCTACCCTTTGGATATTTGTCTACCATTGTTTTTATTTACAATTAATTGACATGTATAGTTTGAGAGGTTTTTTACCTTTTGTTCAAAAAATGTTGAAAAGCTCTCAATATTTTTACCTCCACCAGACATTTATGGTTGAAATGTTTACCATGATCACGTAAGATTTAATGCTTGTAATTAATTTAATTATGAAGAGAGAGAGAGAGAGAGAGAGAGAGAGAGAGAATTATTTTCATAATTCATTACCTAATTTGTGATGATTTAAATTAATTTACAATGTTCTAATAGTGGTTTCATTGCTTCGTACAAAATAATGGGAAAACTCGGTGAAAAGTGTGCAAAATTTAATTACACGGCATATATATTGAAAGTTTATATCCGGGCACTCGTGCTAATGAACGGACACTTATTATTAATACATATAATCGATACGATAGGAGAGGGACCGCATTGGAAACGATTCGGTCAAATGAATTATGTGAAAAATTGTGATCGATTATTTGATAATTACATCTTGCACATTCAAAACTATCCACCATTTAATAGGAATATTCTGGACATGGTAAGAAACACAGCAAAATATTTATATAAATTTAGTTTCGTAATGATTTTGAAAAGTTTATTTATGTTATTAAAGTACCTTAGTAGGTAGTATTTTGTTTAAAAAATTAATTAACAAAATAATAATGATTACTGCATTTATTTAGTGTTCCCCATACGCCTACTACCTGTGCGTTCACATACACCTGTCTATTTTAGCTCCATTACTAGTTTACAGTTTGCACAAAAAGCCAAAGTTTGGTGTACTAATAAACATATTGGTAATTCTATCCGGGTGCTTTGCGTGTATTTATCCATACATTATGGAGGGACAAACGCCCTTGCACAAATACTACAACATGATAGATAACCCTGGTAACTTCAAGGGTATTGATGATCTAATCAATGGAGTGCCATTACGACAATTATACCGGACAGAAATCTACCTGGTTGCATTCCCAATGGGAATTTTAGCTGGTTTTTTGACCAGGAAGTACCCGAATATTCTGGCCAACACTAATTGGGGCAGTATTTTCATGAATGTGATTATTTGCAGCCTATCTGTAATGACAATAGTATGGAATGAATGTATAATTCACAGTATATTCAACGGTACGGCCAGTGATTTGTCGATTACATTGTATAACAGTGCAGGTCGTGTGCTGTGGAGCGCAGGTGTCTGTTGGCTATTCTACCTGACGGCCAACGGTAGGGCAGGTAAATAGCGTGACCAACATATTATAATTATATTTGTTTAAATAAATAATTGTATAATTATTTTGCCAGCATTTTTAAATCAAATATTTAAAGAACGATGGTTATTGGTACTGGCTAAACTATCACCAGGTATCTATATGTTTCAATACAGAATTATCATGATGGATATACGCACAAGAACTCACCCAGACTATTATAATCAGACTTATTTTGTAAGTATTATAACTTATTATAATTTATAAGTACTAATTTACATACATATTTAATTTAACACGTTTTGATTTGTTTTTAATTAATCTAGTGGAAAAAAGTGTTTTTCCAATTTATGACTACCTGTGCCGTCGCCTATATCTACGCGATTACTGTCCAGAGCGTTGCCAACTATTTAATTGAGATAGTTTTTGGGAAATCACGTGATGATAATTATGACAATAATATTACTAGCAATAATCATGAACCTAATAACAATAATAATATAAATAACAAACAACTAGATGAAAAATTTAAACCAGATGCTGATGACGTTAAATTGCAATCTTTCCACATTAAATTATAAATTATAGTTATACATTTTTAATTAATAGGTCTAATTAATTAAAAGTTAATTAAATATTTAAAAATTGTTATTACAAATGTTACCGTAATTATGATCATGGTTTACATACACTGGTCTATAAATTAATTTAAATATTTTGTACCGGTATTAAATTAACGCTTAATAATAATTGTAAACATTTAAAAATATTTTATCAATTAAAACACGAATGCATAATAATATAATAATTATTTATTAATAATTACTAATTAATTACAATTTAGCGGACATTTTTACAACTAATAAAAAGTACATATTTTTGACCCTATTTTAAATTTAAATAATAAAACTAATTATCAAACATTAAACTCAATTAAACATTAATTTAATGTTTAATTACAAACAAACAAAAAACATAAATCATTAATGTTTAGCCACTAGTCTTAGGTTTGTCGAAATGGTTTCGGGGATACTTCCCGAACGGGTCCCGCCAGTCGACAAAGTTGTTCAAACAGCCAATGAATGCGCCAGCAATGCCCAGATACTAGTGCAACAATAAACAAGCACATTAAATTATAACATTAATAGTTACTAATGATTATAACATTGTAATTGTAATCAAAACACCTGGTTAATTATAAACTGTTGAAAGTAGGGGTGGAGTGGGGGTGGAGGACATTTAGCCGTACGATTACTATAGCTGTGATAGTAATACACTTAACAGTAAATATAACAGTAGTTATAATAACAAGATTGATAACAATTAACCTAATCTAATACTAATTAACCCTATTGGTGGGGTTGGGAGGGTTGGAGGGGTTTGATAGAGTGGCCAACAGCTGTCACTGCACTCACAATCACATACACAATACAAGTTATGATTTTCATAACTAAATTTATAAAACTAATTGCAATAATGTGTGTGTAATATGTGTGCAGCCATAGCACAACACCAAGGTGTTCAACAATTTGCAATTAACCATGCTAATCACAATTAAACACATAACATTATGATCAATCGTACGACAAATATCTTGAGGGACGGCGCCTGAAGGTTGTGGTCGTGCGGTGTCTTCAGCCCCGGGCGAGTGAAGTGGCGCCAGTCATCGCTCTTGACGAATGTGGCCTAGGGCGTTCGTGGAATTAAACATCACAATTAATGCGCCAGGGTCATTTTAATTAATTAATTTAGTAAATAAACAAAAATGTTGATAAAAATGTTTTTTTAAAATAAACTTACCTTTTGTGAGGTATAGGTGGGCGCCACCCGAGCCAACGCACCCGTGCACTGTCGGCCCCGCAATATAATTGACATTTATGCTTTTTTAATTAAGTTATAACTATTATTAATTAATTATTAGTTAATTTGTTGTGTATTTTTCAATGCGATAAACAACTCGTTGTTTTGATGTAAACACTGGCCAATAAATACACGCACAACGCATGCGCTGCCCCTTATGTATGCCCAGTAATAACGTTACTTATATTACAGGTGACTAAATTAATTATTAGCCAGTTTATTTTAATTGTCAACTAATTTACCAGAACTATTACCCAAAAATAATTAGTTGTGGTTAATATAATTTAAAACTTACATGGTAAAGCAGTTCTATTTGTCACCATGATAGTTATTAAAATGTTTTTATGATTATTTGCCCCCTAAATGATTGTATTATTTGTGTACACAATGTTTTATAACTCATAGAAAAAACTTTTGCCAGAAGTTTGTATTGAATTTGAGAGCAAATAGTTTACAATTAAATTAAATTTTAACCATAATTAATTATTATTATTATAAATTAACGTATAAATTGGCTAAATAATCATAATTCGGTATCAAATAATGCACACTCAGTTTGTTTTTTGTAATATGTAACTTTTTATTTGTAAAAACAATGTGACTAGTTCATAATTTTTAAAAGTCATAAAATGTAATAAAATAACAAGTTGCTTATTTTAATTAATTAATTTTCAATAACGATGCTAACGATTTTGTTTTGTAAATGATATAACTGGTAATGATTTTATATAACATGGTAATCATAACAATGTAACAATTATGTAGTAGCGGTGATGGTTGGGGTGCGATACCTGCCCACCAAGATCAATATTACTACAATAAGTAGAGTGCACACAATCAAATCAAACAGCATCACATAGCACAAAACCTCCGGGTGCTTTTCAACCAGCATACCAATTATAGTGGGCACAAACAAGCCGGGTATTTTAGATGAAAAATTGAGCAAGGTGCCAATCCTATCGGTCACATCAATCTGTTGGGCCATAAAACTGAATATGAGTGGAAACACGGCACCGATACCCACGGCCATCACCAGTATGCCCGCCCACATCATACCCAGGCTATGTTTGCCAAAGTACATGAGCAAAATGCCCGCCAGCATGATCAAAAAATGATAGCCCAACATCCAGTGGGGTCGCAGCTTTAGGGCCACCACCACTGATACCGCTTGGGATAGAGTGAACGCTAGTCCCATGTATGAGACGATTTTGGCCGACGCACCGGCGCTCAGGCCGAGTGGTATGTACTGTAGATATGTGGCCGCGAACTGTACGTACGAGTCGTCCGAAGCGCAATGAAATGAGAACAATAACATACATAATATGATTATTAGTTTGCCGTATAGTGTATTGCCGGTGACCCGACTGTCCGCTCCGGGCGGGCCGTCGCACCCCTTCACGATCTCAACACGATTTATACGGTATTTTCGGAATATGTACAGCACTAGTAGTGTAACACCACCTTAAAATAGTAATATAAATTAACCTCGGTGTATTTATATTTAAAACTAATTTGTTTAGTTAAAGTAAGTGATAGCTGTTTATCAATGTCACATAAAAATGCTTGGGTAATTTAAGTATATTTTAGTATAGTAATAATTTTGAATTTTTCACAGTACTTTACTTGTGTTTAATACGCTATTGGGTGTTAAATAAGTACACTATAAACGACTGCATTGGGAATGACTGTTCATTAAACTACCTGTGCCATTGATTATCGCATAAAATAGGCATATCATTGATAATTACAAACAATGTAATTGAAAAATAATTATTCAACAAAAAAACAATAAAACTTGTCATCAATTTATAAATACCAATGAGTATTAAGAGTCCGCTTATAAAGAAAGGGACCTTCAGTTGGGACCGTCTGGTAGATGACAGGCCTTCCCAGTCATCGTCAAAGGCCAGGGTATCGGTGCTATTGATGGCAATCCACGGCAAGTCTACCACAAACCCGCCACCGGTAGCGTTGCCATTGGTCTCAACGATGGCCACCGCTATATTATCATCGGTTAAGGGGACGATCTCGCCGGTGACATAGGACTGGTATAGTAGGGGCCCCAGTATTGTGCCGATACCATAGACAAAACCAGATAGTTGAAATATGGGCCCCGCATTGTCCTCAAACAGCTCCAGTATCCATACGTTATTACTATTGAAATAGACTCCATAGCCAATGCCCATTATGAATGATATGAGGTACAGGTGCCACAGGTATGCACAGTAAGGCACAAGTACTATCACCACAGCCAGTATAATTGACGTGGCCGCCATGGTCAGTTGCCGGTTTATGAATTTATATACAAATCCGACTATTGGTAATAGTGTTGAAATAGTGAACAATTTTGAAATATGTGGATTTAGTTTAACACTTACAGCAGCAGCCAATCAAAAAGCCAACGCTCTGAAATAGAATTACCTGGGATATTCTCTCGATCGATGTACCTAGCATGAATTTTAAGTCAACAAATGTTGTGCCAAATGATGATAGATTTATTGACTTTTTATGGTGATGGTTAAGTGAATTGCATGATTAAAATAATAGTTTAAAATTAATAATTAAGTATTGATTAGTTATTATAGATTATTCAAACTTAAAATTTTACATCTAATCAATGTTAGTTTTAGTTCAAATTTTATGAAATTATATTTAATTAAATACTTACATAAACTAATTGTAAATATAATAGAACTAAAAAATACAAATATGTATTTATATTAAGCACAAACTCTTTGTACCAAACTTTTATCAACATTTTGTATATATTTTATTAAATAAATTTTTAATTCAAACTTTCAATTATGGCAATTGCAATTATAACATTAATTCACATTAGATTACAGTTAATATAAATTTCTTGGTAAAACAATTATTTTATTTGTAAAAATTATGTTACAATAAATACTTTTAACACTTATAGACATTTATTTATATAGTGTTACATAAAAAGTGTCGATCATTGGCCTTAAAACTGAGGCCTAACTCTACAATGAAATGCTATTGAGTTTTAATAAAGATCTCTAATAAATAATTAGTGTTTTAATTATTAATACTTTCAATTTCAAGTATTATAATATACAGAATTAATAGTAGATTAGTATTATTTGTAAAAACTTAATTTTGTATTTTGTGCAAACATTGAATTTTATCATAAACATTTTTATTATATTGTAGTTTATAAAATAACATGTTTATATTTAGCATATTTATATTTTAATACTTGATTGATTTAAGAAATTTTAATTTTATTTAATTTATAATGATTAATTATTATTAATACGCTATTGTTTTATTATAGTTGTTACTCAAATTACATGCAACTTTAATACCATATTATCATACATTCATTATCACTCTATTGAATCCAAACTGTGAAGGTAAGAAAACTAAATCCATAATTCCCTATGACATTAACAAAATGATGCATTAATTTTATAATTATGTGATAAAATTTGTATTAACATTAATTATCTTAAATACAATCGTGCATTTTATAGTGAGTGACAAATAATAAATAAAAATTTTTACAACACATTGCAATAAAATGAATCTCAAATTTTTTAAACAATTAAGCATATTAAGACAAGTATTTAAAAAAATTAAAACCATTATAATTATACAAAAAAGTTTGAATAACTAGGTAAATCAATGCAATATAATTTTAATTAATTTTAATATCAAAATAAAATCTACACTTAATTATAATAGTGTTTTACAAAATTATGTTTATATAAAACATAACACAAATAAAACATTATAATAAAACTACTGATAAATTAGATACAATAAAATTAATTTCATAAATATTATCACATAAGTACAATATTTATTATATTAATACATGGAAAGCTATTTAAACAAGTTTCATTTAAGCTATTATATAATTATTTGTATATGTAATTAACTAAGAACATTTAATTAATTGCTTACATTATGAAATTATTTATTTTATTTAAAGTATTACTAAATATTAGCTTATATTTAGTATCAGGTAAAACAATATTACAACAAACAAGCAACTTTTTTATTTACTTAATATCTAATTTGGGTAAATGTTTAACAACTAGCATATGGTCGGGAGCAGTGCGTACACCGGGACTACGGCCACGGGTCTACAGTTTGCGTGTGCGACGAAAACCATTGCGATAACTTAGACCCAATCGTTGTCACCGCTAACGGTGTGGTCACTGTATACGAGACCAGTCAATTGGGTGGCCATCGGTTGGACAAAACTGAGCTAAGGTTTGGCGACCCATCAAATGGACGGACGGGTAGATCGCAAACAATAATCGTAGACAAGGCTAAGGAAACGTATCAACAGATACTGGGCTTCGGGGGTGCGTTCACCGACTCGGCCGGGCTCAACATCCGCTCCCTTCCCGCCGGACTCCAGGAACGGCTAATCGGCGACTATTTTGCCGATACGGGCATTGAGTACACATTTGGTCGCATACCTATAGGGGGCGCAGACTTTTCCACCCGTGCCTACACTTATGATGATAACAATAATGTTTTCGATTTTGAGCTCAACAATTGGAAACTTGAGCAAGATGACTTTGATTATAAGGTCAGTTTGAGTTTATAAATATTTTAATAAAACACTAAATTTATAAATTTTTATTTACAACTATAAAATACACGTTTTTAAACACAGATACCATTTATAAAAAGTGCATTAAAAGCTAGTTCAAACAAACTGCAACTTATAGCCAGCACTTGGTCACCACCGGCGTGGCTCAAAGACAATGGTAAATTAGTGGGCGGGTATTTAATAGGCGCCCCAGGTGGCCAACACTATAAGACGTACGCTAATTACATTGTAAAGTAAGTTGACACAACCAACTACAGACAAAATGGACATAAGTAAATCTAATCAAATTTAAAATTAACCCAGATTTCTGGACGCGTACAAAGCCCAGGGTATACCCATATGGGGCTTGACTGTAGTGAACGAGCCTCTAAACTCTAAGGACCCAAACTGGAGGTTTAATTGCCTCGGATTTACCCCTGAAACCCAACGCGATTTCATTAAGCTCGATCTGGGGCCGGCATTGCAAAGGGCCGGGTATGGACTAAACAGCACTCATCTAATGATTTACGATGATAACTTTCGGCAACTGTACGACTGGGCGCGGGTTATCTACGGGGACCGGGAGGCGGCCCAATACGTGTCCGGTGCGGCCTTTCACTGGTATCAGAACCAGAATTATAGCGAAGTGATTGAAGTGTTGGATAAGACCCGGGCTATCGGTGCCGACAAATTCATGCTCAACACCGAGGGCTGCGAAGAGTGGGCCGGCCTTACAGAGCACGTACAGCTCGGCTCCTGGCACTCGTTTGAACGCTATGTCAACGATATTATGATTGTTAGTATCTTTTACCCATGGTGCGCTAGTATTGTTATTTACCATGATTGAATTAGATGCCAATAATTATGTGCTAGTATTTATGTGTACACTAATTTATATGCACAAAGTATGCTATTACAGAACTGACTAATAACTAGCTTAATAACTGTGGCAATTTTGATAATACTAATTAATCCACTAAATAACTATTAGCAAATTAATTAACATGATTATTCGTTACTCAAGGACTTAAATCATTGGTCGGCCGGTTGGGTGGACTGGAACCTAGCTCTGGACCCGACGGGCGGACCCAATTGGGCCAAAAACTTTGTGGACGCGCCTATCATTGTAAACGCAGTCAAACGGGAGTACTACAAACAGCCCGTATATTACGCCCTTGGTCATTTCAGCAAATTCCTGACCCCTGGTTCAAAGCGAATGCACAAAACACATAACAAACAATTGGCGGCGGATTTACAATCAACGGCTTTTGTGAGACCCGATGGCGGAACAGTTGTCATCGCACTCAACACCGGTGACCAACCCATAGATTTGACCGTAAGTGACGTCCAGTCCAACCAAAACGTGTCCCACATATTGGCCGCCCATTCAATGCAAACTTACATATATTACTTTGATTCGTATAGTGGTGGTCACCGAGTGGTTGGTCACCCCATTCACACCACTTTGTTTATAGTTGTGCTAATTAGTAGTGTTTTAATAATGCTTTAATTATTACCTAAAATTTACTTTTTTAGGATTTATGCTATAGTTTATAATTAGTATTTTATTGTTTTTTAATTATTATTTTATATAATTTGTTTAATTATAGTTATCTAATATTATTTAATGTTAATCTTCCTCTGTAATTGTATAATATTTTATAAATACTTTTTTAAAAATGTTTATAAATTTATTGCAATTGCATTTTAATTGTGAGTAAATTAGTTTTATCAGATCAATGTGTGGAACATACTCTATGTCTGGATACTGCATACTGGAACATGTTTGAAGCAATGTTCCATAGAGTATGTTGCCAATGTTGCAACATGCCTGGAACATGTTACCAAGTATTATAAAAGTTAGTACAATTTATTAATTCATTATTAAAATCAAGAAATAAAAATTTTATTATAATACTGAACTAATATCAAAGTTCTGATCAATAATCAATTATAAACAAACTTATTAACACTTATTTAAATGATTACCAAGAAATTAATTCACATTAATAACAATTGTAAATATCTAATCATAGAAAAATATTTCTTATTATCTTAAACTTGTAATTCTAAATGAAATTAAATTAAATGTATTCCTATCTTTTGCTTAACCTTGTTAATTACTTGACCTTCTTAAATAAATATTATTTGATTTAAAAATTATATTCAATATAAAGTCACATACATGTATTAAGTAAATAATAAGTTCTTATCGTTCATTGTATCGACAATTTTATCACATATCATATATTGAAAATTGTGCTAAAATTGAAATTTCAGATTATTTTTCAAAATTTTTATACTAAACTACTAACAGTACTATAATATTGCTTCTAAATTTAACATGGGCCGAAAATCAATGATTATATTGTTGTTAACATCTATAACAATTGGTAATATAATAAATTATTTGTTTTTACTATAAATATTATTATAAAGTTGAATGTTGTAATGTAATGTTGAATTGACATACTTGTGGAAATTGAATTTTTTATTTTACAATTAAATAGACATTTAAATAAAGTTATATCATTATAGCTATAGTAAACTCAATGGCAATTAATCTGAATCTATGCGACAATTGGATACCGTATAAAAAAGAAAAGTGTTATAAAGTCATTGAAAATCATGTGAACTTAGAAACGGCTGTAAACATGTGTAATCACGCGTACACTGAAGCCTCGCTGATAACCATCGGATCGGCCGACGAACAGGCATTTCTCACAAAACTACTCTCCAATTATAGCACCAATGCTGACAGAGTGTGGATCAATCGACCCAACACTGATAATTACGGAAATGTTTATAACAACTATGTTGACAATACCCATTATGATTACCGTGATTAATTTTGCACTCAAATGGCTATTAATGGGAACTTTGTGGGCAAATGGTATTCGGAGCCCTGTTTTCAGAGTGCGTTTGTTTTATGCGCGCGCCCTCAGAAATGGACCATGGCCATTCTAAGTACCGCCATTGAGAACCTCACCGTTATGTATGATAGGCAACTCAAAATTAACCAATATCTATTAAGCCAGCATAATGTGCATGATTTTGATGCAATTCAAAAAGGTATTAATGATAAATCTACAACAACTATGGTAAATGAGCATGGTATAAATGAAACTGTGACGTCAAATACTACCGATAATGGAGATACAAAAAATAGTGTAGGGCTATATTTCCCCTGGATACATAATAAAAATAGCCAAAATTAAATAAAAGAGGTGGAAGTAATGTAACCAACCGTACACTATTGGACAGTACATTACACTATTATTAAATATAATTTTATATGATTAAGTCTATAATTTAAGTGTAATCTCTGTACACTATTTGAAAATTTATACCTTATTTAAAATAATAAAAATTAAATATCAAATAAAAATATTTTATTAATGTAATTTATTTAACAACATATCTAAAAAGTACCTCGTTATATTTATTAACCTAGTAATACTAATTTACTAACTACAGTCTACTCATGTTTATCATACGTAAAACAACGCGCGTGTCTATCACTCGATCCGTTTCCAGACCCGAACGGCGGTATTCACGGGTCGATTCTCGCCCCTAGTCTTAAACACCTGTACATTACTGAGTGCTGTTATGCGCATAAAACTGGTCAGCGCTGTACCACTCCATTGGCCCTCACGTACGACATACAGGCGCTCGTCATTGTCCTCCAGGCCGTCGTCCAGACTCACTGTCCCGGCCTTAACCCCGATGATTGACGAATAGTTAGCCGGTTGTATTAGCCCGAACGGGGCCGCTGTCCCGCCCGCCGCCCGGAAAAACAGTCCCGCGTACTGATCGGACACATCTGTCCAATTGGTCAGCGGCCACATACTCCGGGGCTCCGACTGGTTGGGCAACTGTATGTATATAAACCCTATGGGAATGCCCGGCGCTGGCATAAGGCCATCTAACTCACTGTCCACCTTGGTCAAATTATTTGGCTCAATATCAAGAGATCTTGGTTTAAGTTGTGTCATATTGAGCCGCAACTGATCAATCAGGGTTTGTTGCTCATTCAGCACCATGGTCACGTTGGCCAGGGCTGCGCTCAGCACATCCAGCGTCCATTCCTGTCGCCGTTCGCACACAATTAACGCCCGTCGACTACAGGGCTCGTCAAACCTAGTTTTGGGAAATTTAGCGTTATTTGAATTGTATATATCCTGCGATGTTATATGAAGTACTGTAAAGTGTCATATAGTGTGACATAACACCCCATTTACAACCCCCCAGTCATACCATTTGCCGGTATTGTACGGCGATATAGATATCTGAACGCACGACCGGTACCACCACTCGGACGCTGGACTGCCCTCAACCCAGTCGCTGTATTTTCTGGACAAATCTCGGTCAATACCGGTCCACGCCTTGTACGTGATATTCTGATACGGTTTAGTCAACTGTCCAATAAAGTCCTGTTCCTCTCGGGACCCGATGGTGACCAGTCTTGCGTTGGGGTTGAGCTCAAGACACATCTGAGTGCCGTTCTCTTTGCTCGCCGTCTCCCGTATGACGTGAAAACACTTCTCCCTCTTATATGGCGTCCAATCATTGCATATGTTTATAGTGTTGGAGCCGTCGATAAGATCTATGTAATTGTTTTAATAGTAGTAATACTTTATAATTAGTTTTAGTAATTAATAGATTTATAATTTATAAAATACCTGATGAAAAGAATACTATGATAGTAAATATGGTAAATTTCAATAACATTTTGCTTATGTTTTTTCGTTGGTGATTGTTAATGCAAATTTATTAATGCAAGTTTTATTTGCATCTAATTTAATTGCTATGAAAACTTGTATGAATTGAAAACTATTTATTTCTCAATCATTTGTTTGATTTTTGATTAATTTATTTGATTAAATGTATGAATGATGTTACTTTGACTGGACTTTAATTTGCACAATAAACTCAATAATCAATTTAAACAAACAATTTATGTTTAATCTCTCTCTCTCTCTCTCTCTCTCTCTCTCTCTCTCTCTCTCTCTCTTTCGTATTTAATTTGGTAATAAATTTTTATATTTATTTTTAAAACNTCTCTCTCTCTCTCTCTCTCTCTCTCTCTCTCTCTCTCTCTCTCTTTCGTATTTAATTTGGTAATAAATTTTTATATTTATTTTTAAAACAAATTTTTTTTATTACCGTACTTAAATGTTTTCAATAAATGAAAAATGGGATACAATTAATAATTAGTAAAATTATTACAAATAGTGATTTAAATTTAGGAAAAATGCTAAACAAATAACAATCTTCAATACAATCAATAAGTTTAATAAACAGATTTATTATTATGATTAAAATTATAGTCTAATTGAAAAGTAATTAACGTTTTAATTATCACACAAATATAAGTTTTAAAATGATTGATTCAAATACAATAATGTTATTAATACATCAGTTTTGATATTCTAATTGAATTAAAATTAAACATATAATTAAATAGCAATAATAAACAAAACAATCGTACGAATAGATCAACAAATAATCATTTGACAGTCAAATCAATTCATTAGTCTTAGGGCCCGAACCTTATCGTTCACGTCATCCAAAGTGTGTTGATATCCATCGATCTCTTCGGCAGTCGTCTCGCGAACAGAGGTTAGAAAGCGGTCAAAAGTGGTCAACCGATTAATCAGACCTGACTTCTCAGTGGCGGACACCTGTAGTCCATTGACCGACAATTTTGTGCGATAAAAATTGGACGCCAATCGACTCTTAAGTGATCGCATTTTAGCACTCAATAGCACTACTTTGTTGTCCAGCGAAGAACCCGACCGTTTGGGAGCCGGACCCACCGGTGCTCCCGATTGGGTGCTATTGTTAATTCGCATTGACCCAAATTTGTTGCTAAGCAACAGTTGGGCAAAATGGTCATAAGCGGGCAATTGAGTGGGCATAGAGTCGGCCATCACTTGAAAACTATTAGCCACCCGTTGGCGACGGAATTGCCCGATGGGTGCGCCTGTATTTAGGGTATAGTAAATGAGAAATATTGACACATAAACAATTAGATTACAATTTATTTATATTTACCATGGTAAACAGTATTGTTGCCATCATCAACGGCCAGTGCGCTAACATTATATCTGCCGGCGCCGCTATAGTCGGTGAAGTAGGCGTAATAATAGCCGTCGTTATGATGCGAGCTTAACGAGAGGTTAGTCTGAGTGCCGTCCGGTTTGTCCACTGTTGCCGTAACTAAAGCGCTTAGAATCGGGTCATTGCCTTTAGATAGTTTCGAGGCCACTATCGGCGGACAATTGCCTTCCGATGCCTTCAAAAACACCTGCAATTCAATGGCCTGAGCGCCGGTAGGATTGCTCTCAACCACCAAATGGGCCCTAACTGTGCCCGATGTCTTTGCCCTCACTTTAATAGCCCAAAGACCCGATTCAGTCGAGTCCATGAATAGGACGCACTCTTTTAGATCCAATCGTTTCATAATCTCTCCACCGGTAGTGCTATAGACAGCACCTGACGGGCCGGTGATCTCTACAACGATATCGTTGATGGCTTCGGAGCGGACATGAATTTGAGTGTTGCGTCCGATGTCGGCCTCAATGGGCACTCGAGTCTCATATGTGTTGCCATTTATGACCACAACTTCGTTAACCACAGTATGAGTGACCACTTCTGCCATCTCTTTACTTGTAATGACTTCTTTCATCGCGGCCTCCATTACGCGGGCCATCATTTCGCGGCTCTCGGCGTCCACTCGACTCAAGTTGAAGACCTGACCACCGGTTGCTGTCGCGAGCTTTTCCAGATTATGATCAGCGCTCACACCGATTGCGAGACAATACACCTTTACCTGAATTATTAAATTAATGTAATATTCAATTCATAAATTAAAAATACAAACAATTGACAAACCTTTGCGCTAATCAAATGTGGTAAAACATGGCCCACATAGTCAGGGATTCCCACACAATGGCCGCCATCGGTGGCCAGAAATATCTTCGCGCCATTGGTGTCCACACCGGCGCAACTGAACGCCGCCAACCCTTCCATAATTCCAGCCCCGATATCAGTGCCCCCTCTGGCCATCTCTGGTACGGCAGCGACAATGCTTTGCCTAACGGAGTGACCCGTGATTTTAGTCACTGCGTGTGCGGTCCAGCCATAATCATCAAACAACACAATCCCCACTTGGTTATTATCACCGATACGATCAATGAAGCGCACGGTCTCCAACTGCAGGGTCTGGCACTTCGCACCCAACATACTGCCGGACACGTCCAATACAAACACTGCTCGCTCAGACATTGATTACTGCAAATACATTCATAGTAATTTAATTTAATTATCATTTTATTATACAATTTGTTAAAACTTTACCCAATTATCAGATTATGTATGAAATGAGTGATGATTTGTATTTGACTTTAATATAAGCGATGAGTTTGTGGTCAACAATACATCAAATGCTTAATTCAATTAAAATAATATAAATTTAGTTTTCATTGATTTCAAAGTTTGCATTCAATTTGAATGATTCAAACACTAAATGCCTGTTATTTGACACGTGATTATTTTGGTACCAAAAAAGTGACACAAAAAACTTATAAAACACATTGAAATCAAATGCTTAACAGTCAACCGGAAGTAAAATAGCCATATATGGCATACATGGTTAAGTCACGTACACATTCACTAACCCTAACCAATGGGATTGCATGGCAACTATTGCACCATGGGCATACAATAGCACACCAATTTTTTACACTGTTTAATGTGCCAAACATTTCAATTGCATTTAATACAGTGAACTTTCCATATAGTGGTCGAGCAGTTGGTATACATTTTTGGACACTGTATAGAATGTTCACTCTATAGAATGTGTGTGGAATAGTACTGACATGCGTAAAAATAGTAAAATATAGTCAAAATTAGCAAAATTTTGGCCACTATATAGAATTTACACTGTATAGAGAGTCACTATATGGAGCGGAAATAACATTACAGGCATACAGTGTCCGCCAAACTAAAATATTTTGTACACTATATGGAAAATACACTGTATAGAGAGTCACTATATGGAAAGTTCACTGTATTGTAAAAAATCTCACATTTCATGTCCTGAACATTACAATCGATAATAATCTAATTGTGTGAATAAATACTGTGTCCACTCACGCCATCACTAATCCTACGCTAAACCATTGCCACAATCGGTCACTGATAATCCCTTTAAGCACATGTATGTCAATAACGTTATCTATAATCCATATTAATCCTAATACTTAACCAAACATAACATTGTTTTACACACTTTCACTCTCATTCAAAAAGCATTTAGTCTCATACAAACACGTGGTAACGGCCGCTCACACACTCACTCACACCCGCATAAAACAAACCATTGTTTAGCCACACATTACTCTATGGATAGTCTATACGATTTCAACAAACGCTGGGCGGAAGTGAAGAGGCGGCTCGAGTCGGGTCTCACGTACGACAGAGTGGCCGCGAAGGTGTTGGCGGACTCGGGAGTGACCGGCCATACAGTGGCCGAAGAATGTCAACTGCGATGGATTGAGGAGAAAGTGGCTGAACTGGATCGAGATGTGCAGACACTGGCCAGCGATGGCCGGGAAAAGCGTATAACTGTAATGAATAAACGGTGCGATGACTTGCGCAAAGAGTTGGACGGTATGGAGTTGGAGGGCCCGCTCCGGCAGATGCGAGTGGACATCATGGAGGCTAAGAACAAGGTTGAGATCAAACTGAACTCGATTGCAATGGCTAATTTAAAGGCCCTGTTGGCATTGGTAATTGATGAAGGTGTAGTGATTGATTCAGACCTTAATGATAAAATTATGGCTATTATTGATAAGAATGTGAAAATCGATTTGATTGATGATTATATTCACAAATTGAATAAACTTATTAAATAATGTCATTTATTAATTTACAATTAATGTATGCCTATTATTATAATTGTCTGATAAGTTAGTTATTTTTGAAATTATTTAATATCTAATTTCATAATTCAATAAATATGTCATAAAATAATTATTTTTAATGTTTAAAATAATTAAAACAATTTTTACAATTTACGTTATCTAAAATCCAAATTATTCCAATATTATAAGTGAAAATTAAAACTAATGTAAATTTATAACCATTTGATTTTAAATAAATTATTTGAAATAAAGTTTTTTGATTAAAAAATATCAATTTATTGTAATAATAATGTGTTTAATGCAAATATTACTGAATCGATTAAAAGTGATTTACATTTATCATGTGTTTTACGTTTTAATGAGCCTTAAAGTACAGTATAATCTAATTAATCTAATCACTAATTAAAACCAATCAAATAAAGGTTATAAAACTATATTTTACTCAATTATTTGATAACAAGTTTTGATTACACTTGTGATGAAAAAACTTTTAAATGTTTCAAAATCAGTAAAATATACTCAGAATATTGAGTGATATTTAAAAAATATTAATTTTTACCAAAAGCCTTTACAAGTAATTAACACAAATAGTGTGAAAAGTTACATTTTTGAGTGCAATAAACAGTACATCTATATTGCAACACTACAAATGCTGCAACCATGGGCATTTGTTGGACAGTAACCATGGGCAACTAATGTGATCACATTTACTGTCTCTCCAATAACCTTAATGCTTAAGCTTGAGCTTTACAAACACATCGATCACAACGTTTTTATCACTCAAACTAAACGTTTGTTTCAAATTGTTTTAAAAATTTCATTTCAATAATTTTCAGTTCACACCTTAAAGTAAGTCTGCATTTGTAACACGTTTTGAAACTATATTAATATAACTAATCTAACAACTCATCACTTAATTGTGTCCAATAGACTGACCATCAGTGATATGGCCACCGATGCCAGTGATAAGAGTGCGGACATGTGTTGGATTGTGCCAATACAGGTGATTACCATTGAAGAGGTTGAGGGCAGCGATCGGTCCCACTATGTGCTCAACAAACCCGGTTTGGATCAAATACTGGCCAAAGTGGGCGACAGGAAAGTGGCCCTTATATTCAATGTGGGTAAACAGGGAGAGGGCAACTCCTTCCTCCTCAATAAGATTGGCCGCCATATCGTTAACTCTGTGAGAAATGGTGTCCAAACATCGGGACCGGCAGATGAACACGACTTGGACTACGATATGGGCGCCGATATCGAGCTTCTCGAAGACCCAAACGATCCTCTAATCGGTAAATACTATGTGTTTTAATTCTCTCTCTCTCTCTCTCTCTCTCTCTCTCACACACACACACAATGTAATTAATGTCTTGAAATATCACTGCCGACCCCTCCCTAACCCTCCGATTGTTTCCAATACCAGGGTTTGAGTGGAAGACAGACGTCAACGCCATTACAACCAAAGGAATTTGGTTTTCGCAGCCGTTTATCGTCCGTAAGACAGACGGCGAAGAAGTGGCCATCATTTTGGTGGACACACAGGGCTTGTTTGACGACGAGTCCACTCAGCGAGACATGTCGACCATTGTTGGCCTCAGTTTACTGAGCGCTTCCACATTGATCTTCAATGTTAAGGACAATCTTAAAGACGATGTCCTGAATATAATGCACTCATTCCTGGACTACGGACTACAAGCCGTCCAGAGTGGGGACGCCGGCGGCGGCGATGGCCATCCCGGAGCCGCTCAACGAAAACCGTTCCAGGATTTGGTATGTCTTTCATTCCTGCAATTTATTGTGTATTTTAATGGCAAAACTTTTTATGACATAAAACTTAAAACAATTGATTTTTTTTGATGCAGATCTTTATGATCAGAGACTGGAGCCGTCCGGACCCGCCCTACGAGTACGGTCTGAAAGGCGGCCAAAACTTTTTGAACGTCAAACTTGAGACCAAAAGCCGTCAGAGCGGCGCCGCCCGAAACGCCCGCCAAATAATACGCCAATGTTTTGAGACAATTCAGTGCTACCTAATGCCCGATCCGGGACAGGAGGCCCGGCGGCGGGATTTCACCGGTTGTTTCGGTCAATTGAGCACTGATTTCAACGCCAAAGCCATAGAGTTTTGCCGTTTTCTCTTAAATCCCGATAAGATTACTGTTAAGTCAGTCAACGGCCGACCGATCACTGGCCAAGAGTTCGGCCACTATTTCGAGGCATACGTTGCAATGTTTAACAGCGAATCCATGCCTCAGGCGTGCGATCTGATTGAGGCCACACATCGGGCCCACGATATCAATCTTATTAATCAACTTAAGGTAAATTAACTATTAATTGATTGTATAAATAACTAATTGCTAATATATCTACTTATAGGATGAGTGCACATTGGAGTTGGATCTGCTACTGTCCGGTCAGGCCTTCTACGGGCGCAGACAACTGGCCGACGAGTCAACCGAAGTGATTGATACGTTGGTATCAAAGTTTGAATTCCGGAAGCGGTCGACCGCCGAGTCTGTGGTCCGGGAACTGACGGATCAGTTGTCCCGCACTCTGGAGATGGCTTTCATTCAGAAGAACGAAGAGAATGAGAGCCGACGGCTGACGGCCACCACTGAGAAGGTGACTGAATTGGTCGCCGAGTTTAAGGGAGACATTGCCGGTCGGGTCAGACCCGGCGTATGTATTGCCGAACAAGTATTGGACGAAATGATTGACGTTAAACGAGAGCATGTGATCACTCTATTCGATAAGTTTGCGGCCGAAGAACCGGATTTGTTTGGCGATCACAAGAAACGGGTGTTTATATATTTTTTTAGCTTAAAGTTTTATTCATATTATAATTATTTATTTATTTTAATTATATTTAATCTAATTATTTAAACAGTTGTTAAATCAATTGGAAAGCGAAGAGAAGTTGTTTAAAAGTAATAACAGTCGAGCGCTACAGGAGTTGATCACCCGATACGAGACAATCACCGCTGCGCTTAAGAGTCGATACGACCAGGTTGGTTTTGACTCATTAAATTAAAAATACCTTAATTTTACTAATTTAATCTACATGAATCATAGAAAATGAATGAGTTGTTTGTCGACCAAAACACATTCTACGGCGAGGAGCACTTGGACACACTGAGCGCCGGTATTATCGCTTCACTGGTCAATGAGTTATCGGAGGCCGATGTGGGCACCGAAGTGGTTCCCATCGAGCCATACAGACAGGCGTTGGACACACACTGTAGTGATAAATACCTCACCCATAGTGAGTTCAACCGTATGCGCACGTTTCAGGACAGCACTGCCATGACTACAGTTCTAAATAATCTGAACAAACAATACGAAGACGCGTTGGACGCGTGGATCCAATGCACCGACACTGAGGATAAGCGCCGCTATCTGGACGAGAGTCGACTCATCCGCACACGCATTGTGTCGGAAAACACAGCGAAATATGGCCACCGTCTCGATCTCGTGGACCTCAACGCCCGATTCGACACAACTGAACGCGAAATGCAGGACGTGTTCGCCGAAGAGGTGGAAGACCGCCGGCGGGCGAAGGCTGCGCTCGTGGACCGCGCGATGCAGTGGTATAGCCGTGAGATTGACAAAGAATACGGCGATCAGCCGTACATACGGCCCGAACGGTTGGACGCCATTCACAAGGGACTGGTGACCGGCGCAGTTGCCAAGTTTACAAATGACCGTGGTCATGTTGCTATGGATGACTTCAAACTGTTGATGGACTCTAAGTTACAGCTGGCTTACGATAAGGTTGTGGATGAAAACAACAAAAACGCACCGACAGTACCGGCCATTGGCATCGATTTGGGCACAACCAACAGCTGTGTCGCCTACTATATGCCCGGCCGGTCCGCCAATACGGGCCGTATCAAAGTTTGCCGTAATATTAACACAACTCGTAATAGCGATGTGACTCCGAGTTGTGTGGAGTACAGAGACAACGGGGAGGTAGTGGTGGGCGAAGAGGCGAAAGATAACCTGTTGGCCAATCGCCAGAACATAATCTATTCGGCAAAACGTTTGATTGGCCGCAAGTTTGACGACTCGGACGTCACTCACGAGACCCAGTACTGGCCCTTTGATGTCGTGGATATGGACGGCGGGGCCGGCGTTGAGGTAGAAGTGGACGGTCAGTCTCGTCAACTGCTGCCCGAAGAGGTGTCGGCGGATGTGTTGCGTAAGATGAAGGAAGTGGCCGAACGTGACTTAGGGCACCCGGTGGTAGACGCCGTCATTACAGTTCCCGCGTACTTCACAGACGGCCAGCGCGAGGCCACCAAAGCGGCCGGCATTATGGCTGGTCTTAACATATTGACCATCATTAATGAGCCCACGGCTGCAGCACTGGCTTATAAATTGGACCGATTTGACGACACGAGCAGCAGGTTTGTCTGTTTTAAGCTTTTTCAATTAACTTATATGAAATGTAATTAAATGTAACTTGATTAAACCAATAGGAACGTGTTGATTTACGACTTTGGTGGCGGCACATTTGATGTGGCCATTTTGCGCCTGTCTATGGGTCGAGTGGAAGTGCTGGGAGTGGGCGGTGACAACCATTTGGGCGGCGAAGACATTGACCACAATATCATTGAACATTGTTTGAGTGAGTTTTACTCGCAAACCGGCGTTTTGGTGGACCGCCAGTCGGTTGAGGGCGAGCGGGCGATGAGAGCCCTGCGGGACCGATGCGAGCGCGAGAAGTGGCGTCTGTCCGAAGCGACCGCCGCTACCATCGCTGTCGACAATATCGCCGACGGCCGCGATCTGTCCGTTGAGTTGACTCGAGCCGACTTCGAGTTGTTGAATAAGGATTTGTTTGACCGCACTATGGAGTGCGTGACCCGTACTCTGGCCGGTGTTAACGGCGGCGCCGGTATGTCGGCCGACGAAGTGGACGACATAGTACTGGTCGGCGGCTCTACTTATATTCCGTACGTTAAGGACATGATTAGGCGGTACTTCAATGGACGCCAACCGTCGCAGTCGGTGAACCCGATGCTGGCCGTGGCTGAGGGCGCGGCGCTGCAGGTGACTATTGTTTTGTTGTTTTTATCATGTGTTTAAAATATTCTATCAATTAATTACATTATTTTCATTAAAAAGGCTGCAATACTGAACGGAACTCAGGCCCAAAAGCTCCGCCACTTGCGGGTACAGGACGTCACACCACACACTCTGGGCGTGAAATCAGTTGGCAATGTGATGAGCGCTATCATACCGGCCCAGTCCCGGGTGGATGGCGTTCCCCGCACTAAAGTATACACCACTGTTTGTGACAACCAAACCGAGATCGAGGTGGAGGTGTATGAGGGCGAGGACGCGGTGGCCACTAATAACACCTTTTTGGGCAAATATGTGGTGACAGGTATACCACCAGAGGCTGCCGGCAAACAAGACGTGTCGGTTATGTTTTGCGTGAATGATGAGGGTATATTGAAGGTAAGGGCTGTTGTGTTGTCTCAACGCGCGCCCCACGAGTTCGAGGTTACCGAATATAAGGGCCGCCTATCTATGGATGAGCTGCTCCGCCGCCGCCACTGATTGTTTATTGCATTTTTCATTATTAATATTGTTTTGTTTTTGTTAACCTTATATATCTTTTTCTTGTATTAAACTGCGGTTAACTTGATTTGAATTAACATTATTTGATTGTTTAATTACTCTTTAAAATAACTAATTATTAATCGTTTATTATTTTTCACTTTAATATTGTACTTTAATATGGTACTAATTATTTTTAATCATAATGAATCTGATTTATTGTTTGTATTGAATAGAATATTTGTTTAGGATTTTTATAAATATAAATCACTGTTTGTAATACTCTTTGATAAATGATTGTAAACTTTTCTCATTTTAATTCATATATTTTTGTGATTAATAAAAACAATTCAATTTAAAACAATTACATTCATTATTATTATGACTATATAAACGTATAATTTTTATAACAGTATATTTTTGTAATTATAATTAATTTGCTAAATTTATCGAAAGCAATTTAATTAAAATATTAAATCACATAAAATAAAGTATTTCAATTAATAATTAACTTCTGTAATACAGTATTTAATAATAAGTGAATGATTACAGAGAATGTGATTTACAAATATTAATATTAATACAATATTTAAAATTCCTTAAGTAATTGTGGTTAAATAGTTATAGTGTTTATCACATCAATTCAAATACAGGTTATTTTAAATCACAAAAATTAAACACAAATACACTATTAACTACGCTTTGGTTGGGCAAAAGTGGAACGCGTTCCATTTTCATTAATCTTGTTCAGTTTCATACATTGTGTGGGGCCTAATCGATATATAATTTATACAGTACAATGTATGAAATTTAAATGAAGAATTTTAATTAAACGCCGCTAGGGGGATGCCCATCACTAAACTACGCTATACTCTCCGGGCAAACCATATGATTTTGAACACGTACATTGTTTGCAAAACAGCGCAGGTGCGAAACAGCGTGGATCCAATGAAGTTCAGTATTTCAAACAGAGAAAGGTTTCACATCTGCGCTCTGAGCCAACAATGTAAGTGTTGAGGATTGTTGTTTGTTGCTATGAGAGGATTGCAGTAACTATACTGTACAGCGTTAGCCACCGACCGTCTTAAGCTCCGCCCATAAATATAACCTTAAACATGCGCTGTTTTGAGTTTGCTTTGAGTGCCACAATGCAAAAGCGAGAGTCTACTTTGCTGTGATTGGTTAT